CTGGGAGGCAAATTCCAATCTCCAGGTGAAATTCGGGAGCTTCTCTCTGTTTTTAGTTTCATGCCCATCCATTGTCTCTAATCCGAAGTCAGTTCAGGGTAGTGCAGCCCCTCTGTTTCTTCCCTAATCTGTCTCGCTTCTGTATCCCTTTTAGGGACCTTGATTGCTCCTCAAATTGCTTTCCTGTGCCATGTTTCATACCATCAAAAATTAAACTTCTAGCGCTGGAGGTTGCTGTAAGAAGACTTTTTCTGTCAAAATATGTGCTTGGTCATTCGTGACCGTTCCATCTTCCTGCTCTAAAGCCCTCACCTGCCAGACAGCAACGTTGTGTTACACTCATTAAACTTTAGAGTGTGGAAATGTGTATAACGAGCTGCAGAGCATAAGTAGAAAAAGGAACATTTCCACAAAAACAAATTTACACCATCTTTGTATTTTGTCAGTGTAGTTAAATTGTAATTTTTGTGTCAAAAACTACATTACTTGACTGCTATCTACTCTTTATTGTTTCTTGTTGTTTTTTAAGAGTTTTTTCTCATCAAAGGTGAAGCAAACTTTTGTTCCTTATGCCTCGGCATGTTAGCAGGGGCCTCCGGGTGCAATTTCTCCACAAGAATGTAAGAGGCGAATGTGACGCCAGTATGAGCAATGTGCTCTCGATGGCACTGGCAGACACTGGAAGTGCTCCAGGAGTGAATGCTTGGAATTACTGACAGAAGAGGTTCAGTAACCTTTGCAGCCTGTCAGAATCAATTAGGCAATAAAAAGAATTCAAAAGACACCAATGATTTTATGAAAAGAAGAATTTTATAAACAAAGATAAATACCTGCGGACAAGAGGCCGTTATGTTAGTGCTTGAATGTCAGATTATTAGTTGAAATGTATGTTTTGAGCCAAATATAGGTTTAATATAGGTTCAATAGGATATCGCATTAAATAGGGCTCCTACAGTATACAGTCTGGAAAAGATTGGAATTGATTTTATATAGTTATCGAAAAAGGGAATAAGAGTTTGGGGATTTTCATTCATCCATATTTTTTTTAAATTACCTTAAATATGGAACTCTGAAAACTCGATGACACGAGAAACGGCCAGGAAACATGTTAGAATGACTATTAACTGTAAAGAGTCTTTCAAAGCTTTGTATGCTTTAAAACCAGTCCCTAATAGTTTATGAATAACCATCATCTTTTAAAAATATAGATGTTGACAGTATAACGTAACGCTTTTGATCATCAGCACCAGTGATGTCAAACTCGTTTTTAAATCAGGCCTCTTGTGATCATCAAGTCTTTGAAAGGGGCGGTTAGATTTGAATAAGGGAAAACCTTGATTTTATAATTTTATTTACAAAGAGCACCCTTCTCAGGTTTTTACAAATTTACACCCATTTGATTTTGTACTTTGGAGTTTAAAAGCACAAATGCCTCTGCTTTATAACAAATGTTTTGATTCTTGAGGGCGAGATATATTGATGAGATGAGCCAGATTCATCTACACCATTGCATATGCAGCGTAAAATTTTGAATTTAGCTGTAATTTTTTTGCAGGGTGTCTGCGGGTCAATAAAAATCATTAAAAGTCATTAAAGAAAAGTCATTAAATTATTATTTTTAAAATAAGGCTTTAATTGGCGTTAAAATTCATTAAATGTGATTATCGGTGGCATTTAAAACGCTTTATTAAAATAAAAAAAAAGGTAAATAAAAGTAAAAACAATTTCGTCAGATATATTATATCAGACGGTAACTGATTCCGTGTGTTTGAGCGGAACTGCTTCTGGTTGACCGTAAAGCCGTATGTTCAGCAAAAAAGCTTTAGGCGGAAAAAATTTTGGGATTGGGCGAATGCAAATTTCAACAACAGTGGCTGGAAAATTAGGAATTGGAGACATGGCTGCAGCCTCTCTACAGTAAAGATGACGAAGAAAATAATTATATAATTATTTCTTGGTTTTGTTTTTTTTTCAAATTGGAGAAAGAAATGCTTAATTTTCTGCTGCCGTGACACCTCCCAGCCTTTGAAATCAATGAGATAAGCTATGTTGGGCTGCTACAGTAGCAAACCATGGGATAACTTCCACCAACACATACCTTGTTGGAAGTATAAACAAGCATATATAAGTAGCTTAAACTTTTCATGCAGTCAGAAAAATTAAATATAATACAGTATTTTTCTGTTACAAGCATATAGCTAGCACAATATCACATTATTATTGTGGTTGAACAGTAACTTATCAGTATTGCCTGTCCATTAGCTGCTTTCACTGATGGAGTTGCAATGTTTAAAGACTAAAGACTTTGTGAAGCCGCTTTGTTATTAGACATGGTTTTTCAAAGCTGTCTGGACTAAAGTGCAGGTCAGAAAGAATCTATATATTTACTGGTTTGGAGCTCCCTTAGCTCCCATATACAAATGTCCATTATTTATGCAAATGCTTTTTTCCTTGGTAGTTTGAAAGTATTTTTGATTTTCACATCCTTTGGGAGTGTTTCTAACTTTGCCAGGGCGTCCATGCTTGATTTAGCAGAAGGGGGTGGCACTGATGGGATCTACCTGCTCGCATTGTACGTCTAAAAACCACGTCGGACTCAGCTCCGCAGTGAGATGGCGCTACTTTGGACTGAGCCATTTTCCCACGACGGCCGACTGCATTTCATACATGTTTGATTTTTCTCTTGACCTCCCGATTCCTGATCAGGAAGTGGTGGCGAGAGGCTGATCGCCCCTCGTTACCCCCGGTACACTACACAACACACGATGCACGATCAAGCTGAAACACACAGTGTGTATTTGGCTTAAGTTATTTTTTACCAATTATTTTCTTTAATAATGACATGTGGGTGTAGGTTGTTACAGAATTACAATGTAAACTTGGTTTAAAAAAATAACATACTTTGAAGAATCCTGGTTTTCCATCAGGAGTACAAGGGGTTGGTGAGAGCATTTTTTTTTTTTTTACTGAACTTAATAGCTTCAGTTTAGTTCAGGTAAATTTTACTAATGGGATAATACATGGACATGAACATTGGCATTTTAATATGTGAAGTCAGCTATGTAGCCACTTTCAGTTCTCCTCAGCCTCAAAAACCAAACCAAAGTAGCCTATTGACATTTTCTTTGCATACGGCTTGTTGATAATTTGGCTCCTAACATAAGTAAATGTGATTCCTCTGCACGCAAAACTTACAGGAGATGCTACCCTTTTGTTTTTACTTTAAACAGATGAATGCTATTTCAGCTGTTGTCTGCGCTGCCCTCTCACACACCAAGAGCTGTCTGTGGACATCAGGGCACTGCATTAGCCAATATAGGAAAACCACATTCACTCATTAAGTAATTTTTTTTACAGTTAGAAAGATGATGCTACTAAAATCTTTAAAAACATACACACTTTAAATTATCTGACTCGTGTCCTTGGCTCATATTAAGGACAATCTTGACATCAAGTAAAGACTTCTATAATTCTTCAAACCTCTGAATTCATTTTTTCTTATCCATCAATTTATTCTTATGTAGCAATTTAAAGAACATTTTATTCATAATTTTCTAGATTTTTTCTTTTTTTTACTCTTTGAGGCTTTGTTTCTACTAACGCGTGTAGTTGGGCATTTCCCAATGTGCCGCATGTGTTTCAAAATGAGGAAGACAAGGCAAGCAGAGAAAAAAAGAAGTATAATATACAAACATATACAAAATAATATACATTAAGACCCTTAAAACACACAGAATCCAACACCCCTTACACATTCTTCTCAACTCTAGCTGTATATAATCTGTTAATCTTTTATCTGCTATGATCTATCATTATTTATCCTGTATTATACCTCCACTATATATATGTATATATATATATATATATATATATATATATATATATATATATATATATATACATACATATATATATACACATATATATATATATATATATATATATATATATATATATATATATATACATATATATATATATATACACATACATACATATATATATACATACATATATACATACATATATATATACATACATATATATATACACATATATATATATATATATATATATATACATATATATATATACATATATATATATACACATATATATATATATATATATATATATCTATATATATACATATATATATGTGTATATATATATATGTATGTATATATATATGTATGTATATATGTATGTATATATATGTATGTATGTGTATATATATATATATGTATATATATATACATATATATATATATGTATATATATATGTATGTATATATGTATATATATATATATGTATGTATGTGTATATATATATATATATATGTATATATATATATATATATATATGTATGTATGTGTATATATGTATATATAATCCATATCCTAACTTTCCTGTATAATCTGTAAATAGGTAAATAGCTTCCATATTTTTATTTTATAGCCTCTTGTAATTATTCTCTCTTTATATATACCATATAATCAATAGACACATAGTCTTCTTCTTTTTTTTATTAATAGGTCAGTGTTATGTTTTTAAGAAACAAAAAATTCAAACAGGTTCTGGATTTAAAATAAGTGAATGAGTTTCCGTAGTTTACAAAGTAGCTTTCTAAAAACGTTAAAAACTGTAGAAAAATATTGATCAAACTAAAGGATTGAAAGAGCTAGTGCCACATTGAAAATTAACATTTAGATAAATTAGTGCAAAGCTCTATGTTGCAGCAAGAATCGAGGGCTTGCTGTGAAAACATGATTCATAGAGCGTCTTTGTCTGGAACTTTCCTGAGCCACTGCATTTAACTTCCTGTGGTGATTCACAATTCAGAACACAAGCTGCTGTTAAGGCTCTCAAAGTAAATTATTAAGGGGAAGCAAAGAGTTCCTTATCCAATTTAGATGGTCCAAGCCCAGAAATCTGATTTAGCTGTAAAATAGAATGACGGAAATGGAATTACAAGACGTTTCTTCTATCTTTCCAACAGAAGACGATCAGATGAGCACTGGCGAGGGGGGCGAGGACAATGGCGGCGGCGCTGGAAAATCTGGTCATGCAGCAGAGAAGGATGACAACAACAACGACGAGTACGAGAACTATGATGAGCTTGTGGCCAAGTCCCTCCTTAACTTGGGAAAGATCGCAGAAGATGCCGCCAATCGGGCCATGACGGAGTCCGAGATGAACAGCAACTCATCACACAGTGTCGAAGATGAGGAGGAGGAGGAGGAGGAAGAGGAAGAAGAGGAGGAGGATGACGAAGAGGAAGATGAGGAGGAGGAGGAAGAGGAGGAGGAGGAAGAAGAAGAGGAGGAAGGGGATGATACACAACGAGAAGATATGAGTTTGGATGTTGACAGTGATGTGGTTAGAGAAACAGTGGACTCTCTGAAACTGCTGGCACAGGGTCATGGCGCAGTTCTGTCTGACAGCTTAGATGGACAGGAGTTTGAGAACGGAACATCTGGTAATGGGGATGAAAACAACTGTTCTCATAGTGGTGGAAATGCACATAATGGTGGTCACCTAAGGACCTCCAGTAATGGACAAATGGAAAACAGTGATGAGGAAGTGTGTTTAAGCAGTCTGGAGTGCCTAAGGAACCAGTGCTTTGACTTGGCTCGGAAACTAAGTGAAACAAAGCCTAACGAACGAAGTGGTCCATCACAGCAAAATCATTATTCATGCGGGGACCCCAATCAGCAGCCCCAGCATCACAGCTATGGAGATTATCACAGCAGCCAAAATGACAGACATAGTCTTGATAGGAACTATTCTGATATGGACAATCTCATGAAGCTTGAGGAGCAGCTAAGCCCACGCTCCAAGGCCTTCTCTAGCTGCGCACACGACGAGCGATATCACACCAACAACCATCGGGACTTTGATGAGGACACAGCCTCGGTGACCTCGGACCGATCCGAGGAAGTGTTTGACATGACAAAGGGGAATCTGTCCCTGCTGGAGAAAGCAATTGCACTAGAGTCGGAGCGTGCCAAGGCGATGCGGGATAAAATGGCAGCTGAGGCAGCCAGAAGAGACGGGGTCAGGTACACCCATGAAGAGCACGGCCCACGGCACGGTTACAGTGTGGAGCGCAAAGCCCGGCTTCCTGACGGCATGAAGAAGCCATTCTTCCATAAAGGTAAGTGGAAATGTTCATATTTTAAGCAGTTGCATGACATATTCAGATCACTTATGATTTATGAAAAAGGTTGATTTATTCAAAAGCATAGCTGCACCGCTCTTTAGAGTTCTTAACAGTTATATTGAACACTTACTCTTTTGGATATATTTAAGTTTTGGATGATCAAATTCTGGAATTGTTAACTTGTTGCCAATAAAAAATAAAGATGTTCCAGGTGATGAATGAATTTGCAAAGTAAAATTGTATTTCCAAGAACTCCCAAAATTCTCTACCAGCATTTACATCAGAATCCAGTTATGGAAAAAGAGCAAGTTTTTACTGAAATCTGCTAAAAGTGTTAATTTTACTAATCATTTGTATCCAAACCATCAGTTTTGATCTCAAGAAATTGAGATTTAGCTATGCAAAATAATTACCGTATTTTCACGACTATAAGGCGCACTTAAACGTCTTTTTTTCCCCTCAAAATGTGCGCCCTATGCGCCCTATGGTGCGGTGCGCCCTATGTGTGTTGTAACTGCGACTTTTGAGACCACCTCATTGAGGAGATGATGAAAGAGTGGCTGAATGTAAGGAGACCAGGTGTTTTTTTTCCACTCATCACCATCGCTGTTAATATGTAGCTCCATGCGTGCCCATCTCACAGCTGATGTGAAAAACATGAGGAAACAAATTAACCCTGTGCTCGCTGTTCAACCGCTCGACATCGGTGTGAACCGCACCCAGCAGGTGCAGCAGAAGCAGCGAGTTTAGATGCAAAGTCAATGGTTGACGCGCGTATAGGTGCAGCAAAAGGTCCCGCAGCGCGTTTTGAGCAGCAGGTGCAGCACGTCGGGATGCGTTTAAGCATCTGACGCACCGCCAACGCGCTGCTGCTGCTCGAGATGGAAAAATTGAAGTTTTGCTGCTGGACGCGCCGCATCAACCAATCAGAGAAGCTGATCTGGGAGCTGACAGCGAGACAGACACAGCGCTCTGATGACATATGATATTAACGCAAATGAAAAAGGCTGGATGGATGAGGAGATGATGAAAGCGTGGCTGTGCCCATCTCACAGCCGATGTGAAAAAAAAGGTGAATCAAATGAACGCTGTGCTCGCCGTTATCCCGGGGGTCTGACAAAGGAACTTCAACCGCTCGACATCGGTGTGAAGCGGCCGTTCAAAGTAAGGCTGCGAGCGGCGTGGGAGCGATGGATGACCGACGGAGACCACAGTTTATGGATAAGTGGAAGGCAGCGCCGGGCAAGTTACGCCACCGTTTGCGGATGGATTGTAGATGCTTGGGCTAACGTGTCTGCTGGCTCTGTTGTTCAAGCTTTTGCAAAAGCCGGCATTATTTCTGAGGAGCTGCGCTGCACGGAAAGTGACTCTGACAGCGAAGAAGGGGAAATTGGCATGTCTGATTTAGCGCAGCTGTTTTATTCAGAAACAGAGGATGATGACTTTGATGGGTTTGATTAATACTTTGTAATAAATACATGAATAAAGCACAATCATACTCAGTTTTGCTCCCGCTGTATTTTTCTACCTGAAAACTTAATTCAACAGCAGCATCTGGGCGGGTCTCCTCCGGTTTCACCGCGGTGGCTGGCAGGTGTTTTTTCATCTAAATAATCTAAATCTTGCAGCTATATTTGCTGTGATCAGTGGGAATAAAGTAGTTTTAATATGTTTTTAAGTGAGAAAGTCCACCTGAAAACTTAATAATTGCAGTCAGTTCATCCAGATTATCTATTTCTGTCGGAGGCGCTCAGACCCCCACATACCAGCGGTGCACCGACAGTAGAAATCCTTTCATCAGCAGCCTCTAGGCTGGGCAGCCTCCGGGTTCACGCGGTGGCTGGCAGGTGTTTTTCATCTAAATAATTTAAACGGCAGGCACTAGGATACCGGTAATAAAAGTGAACATATTCCGTCGGCAGGTTTCAGGATTTTAAGTTAATTTAGGAGTGATCACAGCGCTGTTTCATCTGCGATGTGTCTGTCTCACGGCCAGCTGCCAGGTTTGATTAATACTTTGTAATAAATACATGAATAAAGCACAGTCATACTCAGTTTTGCCCCCGCTGTATTTTTAAATACGCAGTAGAGGTATTTAAAGGTAGTAGAGGACATGTACCTGTATATAAAAAACGCGCCCTATAGTCCGGTGCGCCTTATGTGTGTGTTAAATACAGAAATGGCACACATAACTGAGAGTGTGCCTTTTAGTACGGTGCGCCTTATGGTCGTGAAAATACGGTACTACAAAGGTCAGAACTGCTTTGGGCGGCTTTCTGACATGCCATGTAGATAGGACAGGGACGGAGGTCTTCTTTGCCCCGGGTTTAAACATCTGGTCATCTGCACGAAGTTGCTTTATGGATTGAAATTTTCAAATTAAATAAGAGAAAGCTTTTCAGGAAATTCACTCAAAAATTTGCTGAACTTCAAATTGCAATGCTACGTTTACATGACTTAATTTTTTCATGTAATACAAAAGTTCATCACAACTGCAACTTCAGAAAGGGTCTTGGTCCTGTTAAATCCTTCAGGTTCATTTTTTTGCTTGGATGGAAGCTTTGTTCTGACTTTTGGTCTAGTAAGAGTCTAACGTAGCCATTTGCAAGAAGTTTTTCCTTAGAGATGGCGAACAAATTAATGTCCGAAACTAACTTACAGCATATCTAAACAAAAAACATGTCTAATAAGCAATGCTTTTAACATGTATAATATTTTAAACATGGAAAAACTATTCAAAAGTTTTCACACACAGAACTTGAGTATAATTTTACTAAAGCTAATAATGATTAAATATACAGTATGCTCTGATGTCATCATCAGGACTGCATCTATTCGGCCATTTATAGCATTGTTGCTTCATGGCAACAGGGTTCAGAGTTAGAGTTCCTGCCTCGGGTCTTTCTGCACAGTGTTGACATGTTATCCCCATGCATCGATAAATTCCCCCTGGGTACTCCTGCTTCCTGCTACAGTCTTAAACATGACCAGTAGGTCAATTGGCCTCTCAAATTACCCTTAGGTGTGCATTTGTATATATTTGCATGTGTTACCCTTTGATGGGCCGATAACCTGTCCAGGCTGTACCCTGCCTTTTGCATACAGTACTGGAGATACTCAAGCAGGGGCAACCAATTAAGAATCAGCAGGGTCCAAATAAAGAAAATCAACAACCAGATATTTTTATTTATAAATTGCTACGTTAGACAAAATTTAACACACAAAAAAATTATGTTTTTATGCATCCGTGATATACGTGGATTTTTTAAATACAAAAAAATTATATAAAAAAAATACTACATTTTTCTATTTTAAAACCTAAAGTGTTTTTTTTGTAGTGGAGAAGAACAATCCGTTTGGTATATAGACAATTTCGTGATTCACATATTTTATAAAACAGTTTAACTGACCATTTGTTTTTGGATTTTTTATGGCTTAATGAGAGAAGTTGGCTTTAGGCTGACCTTCAAGGTTTAAACCTGGGTTCCATTGGTGACAAAGCCATTCTCTCATATCAAGGTGCTCATTCATGAGCCTGGATCAGTATATCCTGTTCCCAGGCGCTCCGGCTTTACCATGTTAACAGGAAAATCGGCGCAAGTGAAGTTAGACACTGTCGTCTGACAACATGCAGTAATTTATAAAATGTTTGAATCAGGTTGGGTCCGGATTAGCCAGCAGGTGGGTCCGGATCTTGACCCTGTTCTTCTAATCCATGACTGTCACTGTCTCGGTCCTGTTAAGTTTTCTTTGAGTTTTCAGTTTCACGTTGATTCATGTTTTCCTTGGTTTTCTAGTTTTATTGATTTAGTTCCTATTTTGTAGTTTTTCTGGATGTATTTGAACTCTTAGATTTTTCTTTGTTGCCCTCTTGTGTTCCCGTTTTCCCCAGCTCCTTTCTAGAAGCCATTGTTCACACCTGGTCCCAATCAGCTCGTTAGTCCTGCCTTGTTCAGTCAGCCATAAAATACTCTCCCTGTGAAGCTCCTCAGTGCTGGTCCCCTGTCTTTCCCCATTGTTCCCTGGCTCCTCATGCTTGTCTTCCCTGATGTGTCCATGGTTCTGGTTTGTCTTGCATTTTTAAGTAGAAATTTTGGATTCCTGCCTCTGTTACCTGTGAACACTCCATTAAAACTGCAAGAACTCACCTCTACCTCCCTGCCTCTGCATTTGGATCCTCAAAACCTCAACCAAACCTGACAGTGACCTCTGATTTGAAGGATTTTCTTTAAATTTGTTTTTAAATGGTCAAAGTTTGCAATCTATTCTTCCGTGAAACTGAAACCACATTTCCAAACAACTGTGCATGAGCTTACCTCATCTCACAGGCTCCATAAGAATTTATGTTTTTCAGCCTTTCATCCTGTATTCCACCACCTCTGCACAATAGACCAGACAAATTCTGGAACCTCTAGAGAAGCTTAGTTCAACCTCAGGAAAAGTTCTTTTTTCTTTTTTTTTTCTTGCCAATTTAGAGATTTGGATCTCAGAGTGGCACGAGCAGCAGCAGCTTATGTTGTTAAAATAGCCTAGTATCGAAACATCAGAGGGTAGGCTTGTCAGGCGTAAGTAATGGGAATCTGCACGGCCTGTTAGGACCATGATTTTCATCCTTGTGATGCAGCCCGGGATTGCTCCCTATTTAAGGCAGCTAGTTTGGAGAAAGAACCATGAAACAAGTGTCTGCTATTGTTAGACGCTGCAATCCAACACCACAGTTTTAAAGCACAAAAGTATTGTAAATACAGCTCATTATTTCTTTATTCATGTTCTCATTTGCAGCAGCAAAGCATAGATCTTAGTAGGATGAGTTATTGTCACTTGTAAGGATGATATCGGATGAAAGCAACAAAAAAGAGCAATGCAGTTCATAGTGGGATGATATTATGTCTCAAATGCCACACAACTCACAGCAGGTTTATATTGCTACTTAAATGCCACACAAATGCTAATTTCAAGAGCCTTCCCTGGCCTTTGTGTCTGGATGATGTTGG